TAAGGTGAATTCATGTTAAGATTATATACCTGCTTCTTTGATTGTTCCTTCTCTATTCCAGGCCAGAATATATGAACAACCTGAGCCTCAGTATCAGCTGGATTATTATCTTTCATGGTATCACTATTTACCTGGAAGAAAAAGCAAACAATGAGAATAAAACTTATACATGTGATCATAAAAGGCTACTGTTGAAACCTGGATAGCTTTTTTTTCATATTTTTTTCAAAATGCTTCTTCTTTCCTGTTATGCAACAGTGCAAACTTTAACATACCCTCACTATCAAGCAAAGAATATGATTCCACATCCTATTACTGTTATTGGTTTCTGAAAACAGCTTTTTTGTTTTGATAAGCAGCTATATAGAACTGTACCAAATCATCAATCTCCAGACAACCCAAAATGTATATGACAAATAGCATGGAGAGTAAAACAGAACACTCTTCAGCACCCCACCAAGTTAGCTTTTCCCTGAAAAGTGTCTTTATGTTGTGAAGAAGACAACTATAGAAACTTTGGTTGCAATCCCATTATATATAAAGGGTCAATTCAGAAAATCTCTTATAACCTTCAGCCTTAACCATGGTGTATTTCACTATTACGTTGCAAAATTGTCTATGAAAAAACAACCAGAAGCACAATATTTACCTAATACTTAGCATATAAAAAGGATTATATCGACAATATGCAATTATTCATTGTTATAGGGCAAAAGAACAATTAATGTATAGGAAACATCTGCAATACATCAATAAATGTCTAAATCACATTTCTTGGATGTTTTGTTAGGACTAAAAAGGTTTTTATATTATAACTAAGCTATAATAATTTAGCCATATATTGCTTGAATCTTGAACTACTTGTCAGTACTAAAATGGAAAGCATTTTAATGTTCAGTTCAAGAATTCACAGGCATATAAGAGGAGCAGCTCTTCATTTCAATAATATAGTCTCCCGAGGAAGAAGAATGCCAATATTTTGCCGAAAGTGTTTAACATAATTTAGGTTATTTATTCATTTATATATCAAATATACATGGCTGCCCATCTCACAAGAAATAAGTGTAAACTATCAAATAAAACACATATATAAAACCATCATAAAAAATAAAACTATATTAAAATATTATTAAAATTAATATATATATTAATGATATTTACCTATTATGGCATGGAGTGATCATATCAACTACAATAGTGGAACAATCTTAGAATGTTATTGGTTCTCTGAGACTCCCAAGCCTGGTGACATAAGCAGATATTGAGGAATTTTTGGAATATTAACAGAAATAGACCTAACCTTGCTGGGGTGGGGTGGGGGTAAGAAAATGTTACATAAGGCAGATGACCTGGTAGAGAAGGCCCACTTTCTTGGGACTATCAAATGTAAAGCACTAGCAGATGGTTAGTTGAACTAGATGTTGAGAAGTCCTACTTTTTGAAATTCTGTGTTGTCCCATTTCCCTTCCTCTTGTTCTTGAAGTTCTGCTGGAAGATCATGGTGTCCCTTCAGAGGAAGTTCTCCCATATCACCCTCTTCTGGACTTAGAGTAGTTGTGCTGTAAGGTTCTGCATTCTTAAAAAAAAGACATTGCAGCCAAAGTATTTTTTATAAATTCATATAAAAGTTAGCCGCCAACAATAAACCTAAATTGCAACTGTGGTCTTCAAAAATTATAAAACTATTGAACAAACCACAAGATAGACATATCTAGCAAGAACAGTGAAGATTCTGTATGTTCCTGCACAAGGTTTCTTTTAAAGTTGGAGGTAGCCAGGTAATTATAAATAATGCTTGGCAAATTAAAAGGTTGCTAACTCAGCTTCATGAGAACCCTGCTGTTAAAAAGCAGTAGATAGATATCTAAACAAACATTCAGATTCAGTAAGGAACTCATTTGAATCCTGTCTAAGTTTGGGCATCATGAAAGCAAATCAAGGGTAAAGTCTAATGACAAACCTCTGTTCACTGAGTTTTTTGCAAATCACAGGGAGATGTGTCCCTCCAAGCTTGCATAAATATTTTGGTGTAAGGAAGATCCTTCTCTAACTTAATAATTTCCAGTTGGTTTTAGTTTAGTTTAGTTTACTTTATTGTCATTGCACCTCCTACAATGAAATCAAACATCATCTTCAGTGCACATTTGCAGCTGTACTTGCCAGAATTCTCAAACAAAATATCTACTCCTATATTAGAAGCCAGGGTGGCGCAGTGGTTAGAATGCAATATTGCAGGCTAACTCTGCCCACAACCAGGAGTGAGATCCTCAACGGCTCAAGGTTGACTCAGCCTTCCATCTCAATAAAAATGAGGACCCAGATTGTTGGGGGCAATATGCTGAGTGTAGGGTTTGCTTAGAGAGGGCTTTAAAAAACTATGAAAGGTATGTAAGTCTAAGTGCTATTCAAAAGTAGGTAGAAGGTTCAGTGTGGAAACCAGAACCTGCAGCTGCCCAAATGTCCCATTTTCCTGCCATGCCTTGATTTACGGTTTTAAGGAAAACTTAGTAAATGGAAATGTAACTCCTGCTTTCCAGCTGAACAAATACTACAGTTCTTAGCATGCATGACATTATAAGCATCTCTGTGCTAATGACCTGTCTTCTTGGAGGAGTCTGATGAGCACCTCCTGGAGGTTCATTTCCTTCTGGAACAGCTTTTCGAGAAGCCAGTTTGTGACGGACCTGTTGCACCGTTTTCCTTACCTGAAAGAGATTTATACAAAGAAGCAGTTAGCACACATTATAAACAGGCTTTGCTTGCCATTAGTGTATTAAGTCAGAGAACTCAAAACAGAAAAAAAACATTTACAGTTTTGGCTAGATTTGAGAACTGCTCCGGCATGTAATCTGCTTGCTGTACATAGGTGACTTTGTCATTAGTATTGCCAACGGCAGAATCTCTGGTGTATCTGTAGAGACATGTATTTTTCTTGGGGGTCAACCGCAACGCAGAATCTGAAAATCCTATAATAACAGAGCTTTCTTTCAGGGCCTGTCAAAGGAGAAAAAAGTGTGAGAATGAGCTGCAATGACAATGAGAAAGAAATAGGTATCAAGTGACGGGAAAGGAAAAGTATACACAGAGATTAGTAGTTTCAAACTGAAACAGATGCATATGATTAAAAATAATCCTTGAAATATTGCTTTATTGACAAATGGATTCTATTAAATTGTTTTCTAACTATTTGAGAAGAAGATATCGGAGTTAGATTGCAGTAAACATGAACTAAATAATGTCAAGAAGGCTTAACAGCAATAGTTAAAATATGTAATTAAGTAGCCTGTGCAACTAAGGACTGGTGTCTTTTAAAATGCAAAAACTAAGACCACCCAACAATTTTATGTTATTTATGTTAAAATAACTTCACTTATGATAAGAAAAGAAACAGGCAGATTACAATAACAGTACTCTCTAAACTAAATTGATGCTTTTTAATGCACAGAAATTTAGTTTTCAAGAAGAAATTCACAACATATTTAACAGAAATAGAACCTTACAGCTTCGTAAGATGTCTTCAACTGTTGTTTCCTCTTTAGATTAACACGTTGGTTCACCCTGCGTTTTACTTCCTGCTGAAAATGTTTCAATGTTTTCTCTTTTTCTTTTTTTTGTTCTTTGTATTCTTTTTCAACCTGAATAGCTGTAGCCTGAAATAATTAGCATTAAACCAGATAAACAGATGACAAGGGAACCATACTTCAGAATAGCATCAAGATTGCTGTTAACACTTACTAAGTTTATTAAAACAGAATAGCAATTAGTGGCCTTCCAGATGTTAGATTCCAGTATCTCTGGGTCCTAACCAGAATGGCCTATTATCAGAGATGACAGGAATTGGAGTCTAACAGCAATGGCAGGGCCACAGAAACCCCGTTTAGCTTAATTAAAAGGAGTAAATCACAGCCTAAAAGTTATACATTGTTTTGATGTTTACCATTCAAAAGTATACTACCATTACACAATCCCTCAGAACAGAAATAGTTGTTAGATAACTACTCCAACCTGCTGGAGAAGACTACTGCGAGTCTCTTGGACTGCAAGGCAATTGAACCAGTCACTCCTAGAGGAGATCAACCCTGACTGCTCTTTAAAAGGCCAGATCCTGAAGATGAAACCCAAATTCTTTGGCTACCTAACGAGAAGGAAAGACTCACTGGAGAAGAGCCTAATACTGAAAAAGATTGAGGGCAATAGCAGAAGGGGACAACAGAGAATGAGGGGGCTGGATGGAGTCACTGAAGCAGTCAGAGCGAGCTTAAATGGACTCCAGAAGATGGTAGAGGACAGAAAGGCCTGGAGGGACATTGTCCATGAGGTCGTGATGACATGACTTCGCAACTAACAACAACAACCTGAAGAAGTTTTAGATTTTATCTCCAAGACCTTAGGAACATCTGGGATTTCAGTGAACCACTGCCAGTTGGAGTAGAAAGTTAACCAGATAGCTTAATAGTCTGAATTTTTGATATTGATTTAGGTAACTTAACACTTAATACTCACAAAAACTGGGCTCTCTTCTCCATCATGTTGGGCACTCTCCACCCAGGCCCCAACAGGTGCTATGCACTGAGTTCTTCCTGCTAATACATTCCAATTGACTGATGGAGGCCTCAATTTAGTCTGGGCAATTTTCTGGGAACAGTATTGTTGTAGCCCCTTGTCGGGTAATACCATCTCTGCGACAGGACACGAAGGCCAGGGTTTCCTATGGAAAGACACAGTCATGCTTAATAAGCATTAGTTCATAAGAAAAAGGCCTAGCTCTATTTATGTGCCAGAATCACCCTTTAAAGATAGTTGCTAATTTAACTGGAAATACAAGCTTACTTTAAAAAAAAAAATGCTGTCCTGCCCTGTTTCTGTCAAAGCCAGCAAACATGTCTTGTAACATTTTCTAAGAGATCATGTAGCCCTACAATGCTGACATTCTCAGAGTCCTCTTACTGTCCTAAGATCATTTTCCTACAAGCCAAAATTTAACCTTTCTTGCATAACCATTTCAAAATTTCCATATCCATACAATCCCTTGTTTGCTTGGCATCATCTATCAATAAATCTATCTCTTATTATATGAATCCCCATTAAAAGCTTTAATTAAAACAGAATTTAGGCCTCCCGAACTGGCTGGGACAAAAAGGTGGGGGTGAGAAGAAGATATTTTAGTTTTCTCCTCAGTTTTCGTCAGCGATTTAAAGACTATGGGCTTTATAGAACTAGAGCTAAATACAATTATTTTCTTAGTTTGGAGTCTATGCATGCAGAGTGTATCCTTTTCCCATGTGGCAAAAAGAGGGGATGTAACAATTAAAAATTACATAGTACAATTACATTGTTCATTTGCTTGAACGTCTGCAGACCTGTCCATACACATGTAAACAATAAACATCTAAACAATTCTTAGCATTAACGGTGACTTTTTCTGCAAGGAACTTTATTAAAGGTGGGGCACAGTCTAGTTCAGGGATCTCCAACCTTTGGCAACTTTAAGACTGGTGGACTTCAACTCCCAGAATTCCTCAGGCAGCAAAGCTGGCTGAGGAATTCTGGGAGTTGAAGTCCACCAGTCTTAAAGTTACCACGGTTGGAGACCCCTGGCTAGGTAGCCAGGTAAGGACAAGCGGGTGCGGTTGTCACGTGAAATCTCTGCATTGGGGCTTCATACTGTTCTGGGACCCGCTCAATTACCTCCTTTTGGCCCCCATACCACCCATCCAAAGTTCCTAAATATGCTTCCTCCCAGCCTTTTTCATACCGTAGGCCATTTTGGCGAAGCTGTGGAAGGGTCGCCATCAGCAGCCACGGCACCCGCCGCCCAGAGAACCCACTGGGGAGCCCCTCATTGCGCCTCTCGGGCCCACGGAGAACCTTCCCACCTGTAGGCAACAGCCCCCGCAGGGAAAGATCGCGTCCCTCCGGGTTCACACCATCCCAGAAGCCGACCTCCGTCCCGCACCTTCCCCGCTCGGATAGGATTCGGACTCAACCGCTACCATGGCAACCCCTCCTCCCGCGAGATTTGGCGCCGGTATCGCTGGACCTGTGGCGCCGCTGCCATGGCAACCAAACCCCCCCCCTTCCTCTTATCCCCGCGCGATCACGTCTTCTTTCCTCACCCTCAGAAACAGTCCACTTGGCTTCTCTCTCCAACCGTCGTTTTAAAACCTCGCGCCGCTTCCGCTTCAACCGCGCGATGACTCCTCCCCGTCTTCCCCCGGGCACCAATCCGGGCGGAGAAGCGGCCGTGATATCATTGTAAGCCGGGCTCGGCCGTGTGATTGGTCGGTATTCTCTTACAGCCTTTGGCTGCGCTTTGGATTCGTTTGAAATTTGACCCCGCCCTTCAACTCAAGGCGGCTCCTACTAGGTATTGGTTGCGCCAATCAGATGCCTTGGTTTAAATTAAAGGCCGCATCCCACTTTCGCTGTTGAAGCTGTTATAGTGGAGCTGATAGGCTGGGTGGCCCGAACGCGCAAAAAGAGTTGGCAATGGTTTAGGAAGGTATCTGCAAAAATACGGGTGACCTCTAGAGGGGGACTATAGAGATTCAGAAAACGTCTCTTGGTTGCCCTCTAGGTCTGATTTGGAGTTTTGCAATGCAGCCCAGATTTAGTTGCCCCCAAAGTCAGACATCTATACATCATAATTATAATCCTGAATCAATCTGCTACAGAATGCAAATCTTAAATTGCGTTTCAACTGCTTTGACATCTATGAAAAAGATTCCAACTAATATCTTTCAATTGAATGACATTATATGCCCAGCATTGCCTGGCACTTTTAAGATGACTTGGTATCTAATTGAGAAATTGATGCCCGGTGTTGATCTGTTGTGCAATGAATGCTGCATTGCCATTTCCTTGAATCTTTTGCTTCATTATGTGACATGCTTCTATTGGCTAATATAAATATAGATAGGGATTTATAAATATAAAACCCTGTGTTCCTTTTCTTGTCATGTGCTCTTTGTCTTTTAACTCCTGCACCGCAATCATTTATCACCACGGATAATGCATAGCAATTAAAGGATTTCCTCTTGAAGCAGAGTTGTTTGCTTCTTGAATAGTATGGAACTGCCCAAATCTTTGGAACCCACTTTTTATTCACAACAAATCAGCAATGCCAGATCAGAATGTATCAAAGAATTTCACTCTAAATGATAAATGTGGGGTATAATAAATAATAAAGGTAAGCTACTTTTTTAAAAAAAGAAGTTAAAAAACTCTACCTTTCCAAAAAGTATTGGAAGAAAAATCCAGGTCCAGTTCCAAGACAGGAATAAAATGGAGGCTGCTTAAGAAAAAAGGCCTGTTTATTGATGAGCAGATATGGCAACAGCATGTGGTTCTGGGGCAGCTGACAAATTAGCTTGATGAATGTAAGGATTTTTATACAGTTTACAATATTTTGTAATTTTGAGGCTTGCTTTGTGTGCTTTTATTATTTGATTTGTTTTATTTGTTTCGCAAAGGCTTCTGATGGGACTTGATTATCAGCTTCCTGAACCTAATCCTGTCAGGCATGTGTAGTTGATTTTATCCTGCTAGTTTGCTGCTAGTTTGCCTTTCTTAATTGGACCAGTGTTGTTTCTGCTTTTCTCAATGAATGGGGTTAAGGTCCTGTCCTGTCCTTAATCCCATCACCTGGAGGTGAAGGTGTTTTGTTTGTGAATAGGCACATTGAGGCCTTCTGCCTCTTAAGAACATGTTTTTCCATTTTCTCCTTTGAGGAAATATAATAATCTGCCTCTTAATATTCCCCAAAATATCTCATTCTTCTGGGGGGGAGGCTTCCCATAGTATATTTCTAAGGCATTGTCTCTTGTTCAGAGGCACTCTTGTAATTACTTTAGGATACTTCTAGGGAAACAGCAGTTAAGCAGATTAAACTCATAGCTCAAGATATAATTTTAAAGCATTTGTTCATGCTGAGTGGCACGCTTATTATTTGGACCAAAGCTTTAGTTACGGTATTTACATCCTCTATTTCTATCCATTTGTACAGAGTGGTTCCCTCCACTCTTTCTATCATAATATCTGTGAGATGTGTCAAAGTAGGAGATCACCGTGCCAAATTGTCTCACTGGAGGAGACAAAAATCTGAAAGCAGCTTCACTGTAATCCTCTAAGTCTATGCTACATCACGTGCACTGTTTCCATTTCTACATTGTGGTTTCCTTCTTAGTTCTGGGAATAGGATTTAGTTCATGATGCAATCAGAAATACTTTTACCAAAAATATTGATAAGCTAGCAGCTGAATGCAACTTTCAACAGAATGCTGTACTGTCTTCCTTTGCTATAGACTATGAGTTCCTGACTCTATAGAGGCACAGTTGCAAATTTCAGTTGGATTAGGTGGTTGTTTCTACAGAAACCTTTGCATCAAATTGGGGAAAAAATTCTTCAAACAGTCTCTCATAGATCAAAATATTTGGAAATGGGTTCAGCATCCTGTAAAAGGAAAGATTCCCAGAGACCTTTTATTGCTAGAATTTGGGAGGTGTACACAATAAACAATGTTAAGTCAAATGAAGGACATTTCTATCTCCTTTCCCTTTCCTTTTTCCTTTCTCTTTCTTTTCTTTTCATCAGCCGTTTTTGAACAAATGGTATTTTTGCTGAGCACTAAATATTGAATGTCATTAACGTCAACAAAACTGTAGCCAGCAGGGTTCATTTCAGCCATTGGCACTATCTGCTAACCAGGCCTTATTAAAAAGTTTGGGGGTAACAAAAGGAGTCTAATTTGCACCCCAAATCTGGAATGCTGGCATTCTTAGGAAGATGTAGGATTAACGAGGACCGTGGAGGCAGAGCTGGCAATAGAAAAGGCTTAAGGGAAGAAACAACTATATTAAAGTGGTCTTTGTGACTAGCTAGTTTGCAATTGCTTGACATTGCAAAACATTGAAATCTGGAGTTGGCAGACGTTTCTAATAACTTCTTTAAGATAGCTGTTTTTATTTTGCTCATATGAACATTGTTTTCTTTTTAAGATACTTCTAGAATCAATTACCGTAGTTAGTGAGTGTGGAAATAGGTTTTAGTGCTGGAAAGCATAATCTTTTCTTATGCCAAATCCACTTTTTGGGGGTGAATCCTTTGAAATAAAGACCAAGATGAAACCAAGTTTTCCTCAACCTCATTCTGGGCTATATATGCAAAACATTGAAGAATGAATTGAGACTGTAACAAATATATCTACATTTTAAAGCCACAAAATCCAAGCAATTATTTGTTATGTCACATATTGTATTGTTCATACAATGTGACATGCATTTAAGTACTTCTGAAATATAAGCTAGGATAGCCTTCTCTGATGTGATTCAATCTAGTACTTCTCAACGTATGTAGGACTATGTAACTTCATCTTGATTGGGAATAGTTGTGGGGTTTATTCCAGAAGAATGTGCACTGGGAAAATCTGCTACTGCAGTAATCAGAAATCTTGAGTTTTTGGGTCTTTCCCCAATTTTAAATCAGGAATTTTCTGTGAAGCTGCCTTTGAAAGTCAGAAATACAGCTTGTGTTGTTTTTAAATATGATTAGCTAATCCTTTGGCACTAAAAATCTCAGCTCACCAAGTCTTAGGTCTGACCCAAAGGAAAGAAAAAAGGGTAAAAACATAAAATCCAACAAACTCTTTCACAACAATCCACAACAACACACAGAGCTCTGTCTATTGAAAGGGGACTTGGCAGAGTTCAGTGGTAGCAGAACAAACTCCAAGCCGTACTAAGGGACGTGCTTGGAGTGGACAAAACATGCTAATTGTGTGTGAGAAGGATCTAAAGCTAAACCCAAAATGAAGAGAGAAAGAGAAGCTTTGTCCAGAGTTCTCAGCACTCCGGGTTTCGTACATATCGTCTGCCTTTTTGTAATCTACTATGCAGGTAGGAAACTAGTCTTTTTAAAAACATTTGGGCAAAAGGTATTTGAGTTATGGGTCAAGCAATCACTCCTGTGGAAACAAGGAAGGTTCTCTTTGGATGCTGAATGCCTGGGTGTGAATTGCCCAGCTTCTAGGCAGAGACATCAGAATGGTCCAAATATCTCTTCCTTCACAGCTCTGTGCTTGAAACAAGGTGGCTTTAAATGCATTTCAGTGGCTGTTTTTTTTTAAAAGAGTTATTACACTGTTCTTTATAGAATAGATTGCAGATCGATGCATCTCTAAATCTAGGGAATTCTTTGAAGGAATGCATCTTGAATACTGGTTCTGCTCAGGTATGTTTTTAAAACAAGACTTTCAAGCTACGCTGATAATATTTACAGAAAAGGGACTGATAATGGCATAAAGAAAAGGATGGATCTTAGCAATATTTAAATTTCCTATGTGTGTATACAGTACAGTATACACCTTGACGCTTCAGTGAATTTCGTAGAATCTTCTCTTGAATCAATATGTATATACTTGTATATATATACTGGGTATACTTGCTTATTTGGACATTTGGTTTAGTGGGATCTAACTCAATTAGGACATTGAGTTCAATGGGAGTTTCGCGTCTGAGCAATTGTACACAGTGTTGCACTGCTGATTTTGTGATTTGAACTTCCTGGATTATGCAACATATTACATTAAGATTAAGTTGCCAAGGAGTGGATAACTATAACATTCCCAACTGTATAGTGAAGATACTTTTTTAGTAGTTTTCCAAGTAGTCTAGTTAGAATTGATATGTGAAAGATTAACATGGAGATAATAACTATTATGTAATCTATGGCAGACTTTCCTGGTTGGGATCATTCGCTGGAGAAGATGTGAATCTGTACGACTGTAGAATCTGGTAGGTAGGTAGGTAGATGGATGGATAGATAGATCCTTTAAAGATAATTATGTTACACTGTAACATATTATGTCAATCTATAATTTAGAATGTCACCTATCTTGGACACAGAAAAAACATTTGCACCAGATTGTTTAATCCACACTTCCTTCCTTCCATGCTTATGTACCTCTCTATTCTCTCCATTTATGATACTTAGAAAAGGAAACAGCTATTTTTGATTAGTCAATGAATTATATTATTTCAAAAAGTGTCAGTATTCATTAAGCTATCATTTGTTGCATTCACATAACACACAATCATAAACCATGCATTAGAAGCTGCAGTGGAGGAGATATGTTCATGTAGCTTTTTGCACACCTAGTCTTCCTGGTTGC